AGTGGCTCATGCCTGTAATTCTAGGACTTTGGGAGGATGAGACAGGTGGATCACTTGAGGCCAGGAGTTCAAGACCAGCCTGGCCAACATGGTAAAACCTCATCTCTACTAAAAATACAAAAAATAGCTGGATGTGGTGGTGGGCACCTGTAGTCCCAGCTCCTCGGGAGACCGAGGCAGGAGAATCGCTTGAATCTGGGAGGCAGAGGTTGCAGTGACCTGAGATCTCCCACGCACTCCAGTCTGGACAACAGAGTGAGACTCTGTCTCAAAAAGAAAGGCTTTTATCCACTACAAAGTTATAAAAACTTTGATATATTTCATAGCTTTCTTGTACACATTTAAATCACTAAGGCTGGGTGTGGTGGCTCACACCAGTAATTCCAGCACTTTGGGAGGCTGACATGGGTTGATCACTTGAGCTCAGGAGTTCAATACTAGCCTGGGCAACATGGTGAAACCCCATTTCTACAAAAAATCCAACATTTAGCTGGGTAAGGTGGCATGTGCCTATAGTCCCAGCTCCTTTGTGGGGCTGAGGCAGAAGGATCACTTGAGTCCAGGATAATGGCTTGAGCCCAGGAAGATCACTTGAGCTGGGAGGTTGAGGCTGCAGTGAGCCATAATCATGCCACTTCACTCTGGCCTGTATGACACAGGGAGACCTTGTCTTAAAAAAAAAAACAAACAAACAAACAAACAAAAAAAAAAAACTCTCATCCCCGAGTTGTTTCCTCCATAAATACCTCACCAGAAAATATGGTTTGGCTGTGTCTTCTCCCAAAATCTCATCTTGAATTGTAATCCGCACATGTCAAGGGTGGGACCAGGTGAAGGTAATCGGGTCATGGAGGCCGTTTCCCCATGCTGTTCTCATGATAGTGAGTGAGTCTCCTAAGATCTGATGGTTTTATTAGCTTCTGGCATTTCCCCTGCTTGCACATCTCCTTCCTGCTGCCTTGTGAAGAGAGTGTCTTGCTTCCCCTTCCCCTTCTGCCATGATTATACATATACATTTTCTGAGGCCTCCCCAGCTATGCTGAACTGAGTAAATTAAACCTCTTTCCTTTATAAATTAGCCAGTCTCAGGTATGTCTTTATTAGCAGTGTTGAGAATGGACTAATCCATCAGATTTTCCTAATGTCATTTTTTTCTGCATAGATTTAAGATATATATATATATTTAGACAAAGTCTTGCTCTGTCACCCAGGCTGGAGGGCTAGAGTGCAATGGCATGATCTCGGCTCACTGCAACCTCTGCCTCCTGGGTTCAAGCAATTCTCCTGCCTCAGCCTTCCAAGTAGCTGGGATTATAGGCGATTCTCCTGCCTCAACCTACCAAGTAGCTGGGATTACAGGTGTGCACCACGACACCTGGCTAATTTTTGTAGTTTTAGTAGGGACAGTGTTTCACCAAGTTGGCCAGGCTGGTCTCGAACTCCTCACCTCAAGTTATTTGCCCGTCTCAGCCTCCCAAGTGCTAGGATTACAAGTGTGAGCCACCACACTTGGCTGATTTGACTTACTTTTACTGTAACCAGCCAGTGGGTTCTTTCTGCCCACTGCACAGTCAAAAGAAATTTACTGAGACCACGGCATTGCAATAGAGTTTAACTGATACAAGTCTGAGAGATGAAGTTATTATTCAAATCAGTCTCCCCGAAAATTTGGAGGGTAGGGTTTTTCAAGGATAGTTTGGTGGGCCATGGATTCAGCTTCTGGATGGGGCCATAGGACCAGTTGGTGGAGGTTGACTGGCCCTGGTGGAGCCACTGGTCATCAGAAATGCAAACACTTAAAAAAATGCCTCAAAAGGTCAATCTTAGGTTCTATAATAGTGATATTATCTGTGGGAGTAATTAGGGAGTTCCAAATCTTGTGACCTCTGGAATGATGGCTGGAAATCTTTTAGTCTACACATTAGCAGATTTCAGGCTCCTCATATCCTCCTAACCTGGTAGCCTCTCAGCTTTACAAAGGTGGTTGAGTTTTGCCGAAGGCTATTACAAGCTTGTCCAACCCATGGCCCATGAGCTGCATGTGGCCCAGGATGGTTTTGAATGCGGCCTAATACAAATTTGTAAAGTTTCTTAAAGCATTATGAGACTTATTGTGAATTCTTTTTGCGACTTTTTTTTTTTTTTTAAGCTCATCAGCTATCTTTAGTGTTAGTGTATTTTATATGTGGCCCAAGACAGTTCTTCCAGTGTGGCCCAGGAAAGCCGAAAGATTGGACACCCATGGTCTATTATTGTTTAAACTATAAAATAAAGGTCTTTCAAAGTTTGCTTGGCCTAGCCCCAGCAATGATTAACGGCAGTTTGGAGGTTAAAGGCAGAATGGGGGGTTGGTTAGATCAGATCTCTTTCACTATCATAATTTTCTCACTGTTAATAATTTTTGTAAAGGCAGTTTCATTTTTAAGAAGTAACCTCTGACACTCAGAGGATCTGTTGTTATTAACTCTCATCATCATTGTCATATTTAGCTCTGTGTTACTGGAAACGCGATAATGGGATGACGGCTATTTTACTGGGTCTGAGAGATAAGGAAGGAATCCTACATTTTTCCTACTGTCTACTCTCACTTGACACAACACTTCCCACACCAGATGTGATCCCAGGCCGCAGGCTGTTTCCCCACATACTAAGCAGTTCTGCAGTGGACACCAGCTTGGTATCCTCTAAATCAATTCCCTTCTGACACCATCTACCCGAAGTTACTGTCAGCTCTGACAGGTTGGGGCTTAGTCCCACAAGACTGCCCCGACTTGAGATGCCAGTCACAAGTAGAGTGTGGCCTATACATCTGACAGATGGGCCACAAAACCAGGGGTTCTCTTGACTCCATCCTGGTGTTTGATTAATTTGCTAGAGTGCGTCACAGAACTCAGGGAAACTGAATTTCCCCTATTTGTTATAAAGGATATTACAGGGGCTACAGATGAACAGCCAGATAGAAGAGATGCATAAGGGAAGGGATGTGGGAAGGTCCACGGACCTTTCATGCCTTCTCTGGACTCACTACCATCTGGGAATCACAAAGTGTTCAGCTGTCTGGAAGCCGTCCGAACCCACCCAGTCCTGTGGTGGTGGTGGTGGGGTGGTGGTTGTTGTTTTTGAGAGACAGGGTCTTGCTCTATCCCCCAGGCTGGAGTACAGTGGTGCAATCTTGTCTTGCTGCGGCCCCAACCTCCTGGCCTCAAGTGATCCTCCCTCCTCAGCCACCCATAGTGCTGGGATCACAGGGATGAGCCACCACCCCTGGCCACATCGGGGTGTTTATGGAGGCTTCATCACACAGGTATGATTATTATTGGCCCTTGGTGATCAACTCAGCCTTCATCTTCTTTCCCCTCCCAGGAGTTTTGAGGATGGAGATGAAATTCCCAACCCTCTAATACTGCCTTGATTTTCTGGTGACCAGACCCCATCTGAAAGTTACCTAAAGGCAGCCAGCCACCAGTCATCTCATTAGCATATAAAAGACACTTTGATCACTTCAGAGGCTATTTTAAGGGTTGCAGGAGCATTTTGCTAGGAGACAGCACAAAAAGCAAATATATATTTCACAATATCAAACTAGGTGACATCACTCCTGATAAAAATGAATCCAAATTGGTAAACAAACTGCATTTGGACTGGGAGGACTGAATAAACTATGACTGGCTGGTAGGAAGCCATGGATTGGGATTTTCTGAGTACATTGTCACTCAGTGACACGTAACTGGGCACATCTTTTACTGGGACCCTGGAAGCTGTGCTACTGGGGCCGTTACAAGAGATATTGGTCTATAGAACAGGTTCAGGCTTCCAAGCAATGTCACCCTAGCACTCAGCAGTGTGGTTTTGTTCCCAGGCACTGGAGCTATCACAAGGGAGGGGCAGATTGGGCTAATAGCTCCTGGATTGCTCTGAGAAGCCCTCCTGCTGGAGAAACCTGCCTGTCACCACCCTCTGGCACCCTGGCTTTCCTGTCTCCTCTCCTTCTGCACAGCTGGGTAAACTGGTGTCTACTATGGCCGGTTTGGGCCTTATGGGTGCAACAAGTGGCTTGAATTGAAGGCCACCAAAGTGAGAACATGACAGGATGGGATCCGGAGCAGAAACAGGGGGTATTGGTCTTTGCGAGGAATTGGAGCACTTGCAGAAGTGAGTTTTTGTTTGGTGGTGACAAGGCCAAGCGCAGATCCTTCCCCTTTTGCCTTGGTCAGCTGCCCAGGCCACAGACCTCTGGCTTCCTGTTCTTTGTCTCATGATTGATGAATGAAGGTTAGAATGGTTTGTCATGATTGGCTAGCTATGTTTAGAACTGTTTGTTGTAGCTCTGTGTCTCCTGCGAAGCCTGGTCTGACAGCCCCAAGCAGAATTGACTTCCTCCTCTGTGGGCCACCCGGACCCTGTCCTACATCTGTCCATGTCCCTGTGAGGCAGGCTTCCTCCCTTCCTTTGTTTCTCGTCTGTGAGTGTCTAAGTGTTGCTTTTCTCCCTCTACCAAACCGAAGCTCCTTGAGTTCAAGATGTATCGTTTTGTATTAATCTTTGCTTCACAGGACTTACCAGCCTGGCCTCTGTTCAGTAAACATGTGTTGAATGAATGAATTTCCAGGGTGAGATATTTCTCATACCCTATATGTTTCTCCTATAAAGTTCAAAATGATTTTAGTCATGTAGATACTCTATGTAATATATGGTGCCGAACTGACTAGTGACTGTCATAAGAACAATTACATGAGAAAGGCTGACGTGGCTGCGGGAGCCAGATTGTGTGGATTCGAATCCCTCATTCCTGGCTGTGTGACCTGAGCTAGTTACTTAGGCTCCGTGCACCTCCCGCTCTTCATCTGTCAAGTTTCTCCTAGGGTGGCGGCGAGGATCGAAATCTTTAGTACGTGTGAGCACTTCAGAGAGCACAGAGTAAGCCCTTCATGTACGTGAGGTGCCATGTCCCAGTGCCCCAGGCTGGTCCCGGGGTGCTAAAGGGGAATGTGCCATTACAGGAATCATTGACCTTCAAGGACGTGTTCGTGGACTTCACCCTCGAGGAGTGGCAGCAACTGGACTCTGCCCAGAAGAACCTCTACAGGGACGTCATGCTTGAGAACTACAGCCACCTGGTGTCCGTGGGTGAGGGACCGCGTCACAGTGTGATGCAGAATGCCCCCAGTACTGTCTTTCTTTCTCAGCCGCTCCACGCTGCGGGGCCTGGGAACAATGAGTGTGGGTTACAAGCCTCCGTGGGTTTGGGTTACAGTCCTCTGTGTAGTATTCGTAGTCCCGTTTGGACGCTGGACAGCATATTGGTGCCATTGCTTGCTTTGTGAATGTTCTGTACTGAGGGGCAGATAAGCTGGATGCATGGGGCCGTCACCGAGGCCGTGCCACCTTCAGCCTGCAGGGGTGGGCGTAGGTTCTGGAATTCCTCAGCATTAATAACGAAGTCCTGTGTCATTTCCCCTGAACAGGGTATCTGCTTGCCAAGCCAGATATGATCTTCAGGTTGGGACCAGGAGAAGAGTCCTGGAGGGCAGATGGAGGGACCCCGGTGCGCACCTGTGCAGGTGAGGACAGGCCAGGTGTGTCAGGCCGGGGAAAGGGGACAAGGTTGGTTGGCGAGAGCTTGGCTTCTGGGATGCGCTCGGGAGCCCTTCTAAGAGCCCCGGACTTGTGGACACGCCTAGGCTCTGATGAACGGAGCTGCTGTCGTGTGCACAAGAGTCCTCTGCCTGGCAGCCAGTTACGGTCTCTGTGTTCTTTGCTTGGCGTTCACATAGGTTGTGGCCACTCTTATTCTGAGATCCCATTTCTACCTTCCAGCCTCCTGGCTTGCTGGTGAGAAGTGCCAAGCCCCTTCTCATTCCTCTCCCACCACCTTTATGGAAATTGTTAAGACTTATTCTCCTACCTTCTTGGCCTTTTGTATTTTCACCATAGTAGATGTATTAATAGATGTCAGCATTTCCTCTTTACGGAAAATGCTGTGGGTGTACCGTGGGCCCTTTCAGGCTGAAAAGGTAGAGGCTTTTTTTTTTTTAGCCTCAAGGAAATTATCATACATGGTATTTTGGAGTTGGTATAGGCAGCAAAGCTTTGCTAGTGACCTTCACTCTACCCAGCCTCGTACCCACCATGGTCTTGCCTGCTCTCATTTTGTGGTAAACACTGAAACCTCACACCGTTTTCTATTTTCTCTTCGTATTCCTTCTCAGACTCTTACAAATCTGACTTGATGCCACCTGTTTTCAGAGTCCTCCTCTTTTCAGTACCTTCCTCCCACTCTACTCTTATTTTTTGTATTCTCTCTTTATTTACTAAAAAATAAACTTGAGAGAACATCATTCCCGTGGTGGAATACTTCATAAAACACTGCTAAACTGTTTTGCAACGTGGCTCTACCACTTTTTCTTCCACCAGCCATGTATGAGACTGCCACGTGTTTCTGATCCTTGCCAGCACTTGCTATTTTTAGTGTTCATCTTTTTTTCTAGTAGGTGTGTAGGGGGATCTCATTGTGATTTAATCGTGCATTTCTCTAATCATGAATATTATTGAGCCCTTATTTGCCATCTTTATATCTTCTCTAGGAAGTATTTGTTGTAGTCTTTCGCCATTTTTCTTTGCTATTAAATTGTAAGGTTACACACACACACACACACACACACACATTTTTTAAAAAAATTTTGAGATGGAGTCCTGCTCTGCTGTCCAGGCTGGAGTGCAGTGGTGCAATCTCGGCTCACTGCAACCTTCACCTCCCGGGTTCAAATGATTCTCCTGCCTCAGCCTCACGAGTAGCTGGGATTACAAATGCATGCCATCATGACCAGCTAACTTTTGTATTTTTACTAGAGATGGGGTTTCACTGTGTTGGCCAGGCTGGTCTCAAACTGACCTCAAGTGATCCACCTTCTTCAGCCTCCCAGAGTATTGGGATTATAGGCGTGAGCCACCACACCTGGCTGGTTCTTTATATATTCTTGATGCAAGTCTTTTAAGTACATACTCCTAGGTCGTGGCTTCTTTTTTTTCTTAACTGTGCTTTGTAGAATAGATGTTTTTAATTTTGATAAAATTATCAAGTTTATCAAGTTCTTTTATGGTTCATGCTTTTTGTATCCTATCTAACAAATCTCTGACTCAGAGAATGGACATTTTTCTCCTGTGTCTTCTTTTAGAAGATTTATAATTTTAGCTCTTAATTTTAGACCGATGACAAAGAATGAGTTAAGTTTGTAAATCTGACATGAGGTGAGGGTCAGGGTTTCTTTTTTCCATTCCACAATCACATCCTTTATTCTTATTTTCAAGGTAGTATTAAGTGTCCATATTTCTTAAGCCACATTCAAGGAAATCATGTCTTAACTATTTTGGATGTTTCCTCTCCTTCATCTTGTACATGAAACTCCAGCAGATTTAATACTCACATCCATCATCTAGTCAAACCTCTTACATGTTCTTCAAACCAATCAAATTTGGGCTTCTCAACATTTTCTGTGTCAATAAAAGGTGTGGAATTAGTAGATTGGATGAAGACCTGTATTTTCTTGCCATATTGGACTTTAGACACCATTTGGATTTGGTTTAGAAGATGGGGAAGTACGGATGTTTCTTGGCCTGAGTCTCTTAACAGTAGAGATGTAGAAGAGAGAGTGAGACCATGAAGAGACTGGCTGTTGACTGCAGGGCACCACCTTGGTGGTGGCATTAGCTGGATTTGGGGCAGCCAAAGTACTCTGCGAGGAGTTACTTGAAACTATTACAACAGCTGTTTGATTGGAATAAATCTGTGTGGGTAAGAGCAATGCCAGCAGCAGCAGCCCCAGCCTGAGCCTGGCCACCATTGCTCTGCTCTTGTCCCCTCCATCGGTGTGCGGCGTGTCTCTCTGGATGCTGGGTGCTTGGAGAACCGCTGGCTCAGGCGGGCACAGACACGGTCGAGGGTCAGGGTATTTTTTTTCATATGTATATCCAATTTTTTTCGGCAGCATTTTTGAAAATACTCTTTTTGTTGTTGTTGACTTAAGTTTGCCATTGTTGCTGAAAACTTTTGAATGGCCAGGCACAGTGGCTCACACTTGTAATCCCAGCACTTCGGAGGCTCAGGCGGGAGGATCAGTTGAGCCTAGGAGCTTGAGACTAGCCTAGGCAACATAGTGAGCCCATGTCTCTACAAAATATTTTTTAAATTTGCCAAGCATGATGGCATGCACTTGTAATCCCCGCTACTTGGGAGGTTGAGGCGGGAGGATTGCTTGAGCATGAGAGGACGTGGCTGCAGTGAGCCATAATCACGCCAGTGCCACTCTAGCCTGGGTGACAGAAGAAAACCCTGTCTCAAAAAACAAAACAAAACAAAACAAAACAAAAAACACCAAACAGTTGAACAGAGATTCATCTGTCTATACATCAGTAATGTACTGTTTAATCACTGTAGCCTTATGTTAAATGTTCAGATCAGGTAGTGTGAATCTTCCAACTTTGTTCTTCCTTTCCTAATGTTTTACCTATTCTAGGTCCTTGGTATTTTTATATAAATCTTAGAATCAGCTTGTGAATTTGTACACAAAATCCACAGAGATTTTTATATGGAATTACACTGAATCTGTGGATTATTGATACACTGACAATATTGAGTCTTCCAGTTAATGAATAGCATGTATCTCTATTTAGATTTTCTTAAATTTTATCTCAATATTTTGTAGTTTTGAATGCACAAGTCTTTCACATTTTGTTTAATTCATCCCTGCATTTTATGTTCTTGTTTGTTTGTTTGTTTTTGAGATGGAGTTTTGCTCTTGTTGCCCAAAATGGAGTGCAATGGCGCAATCTTGGCTCACTGCAACCTCCACCTCCCAGGTTCAAGCGATTCTCCTGCCTCAGCCTCCCAAGTAGCTGGAATTACAGGCATGCACCACCACGCTTGGCTAATTTTGTATCTTTTAGTAGAGACAGGGTTTCTTCATGTTGGTTGGCTGGTCTTAAACTCCTGACCTCAGGTGATCTGCCCGCCTTGGCCTCCCAAAGTGCTGGGATTACAGGTGTGAGCCACTGCGCCTAGCCAATTTGCAGATACTGAATCAGCCTCTCATTACTTGTGTAAACCCCACTTGATAATGACCTGTCATTCCTTTGATATGCTCTTAGTTTGCTCATATTTTGTTATTTTGCATCTATGTTTATGTGTCATAATTGTAGTTTTCTTCACTTACACTGTTTGTGTCTGGTTTTGACATCAGGGTTGTGATGGCCTTATAAAATGAGTTGGAAAGTGTTTCCTTCTCTTCTGTTTTCTGAAATTTATATAAGACTAGCATTATTTCTTAAATGTTTTGTAGACTTCATCAGTGAAGGCATCTGGGCCTAGAATTTTCTTTGAGGGTAAGTTTTGAACTACAAATTAATTTTTTTTTTTTTTTTTTTTTTGAGACAGAGTCTCGCTCTTGTTACCCAGGCTGGAGTGCAATGGCGCGATCTCGGCTCACCGCAACCTCCGCCTCCTGGGTTCAGGCAATTCTCCTGCCTCAGCCTCCTGAGTAGCTGGGATTACAGGCACGCGCCACCATGCCCAGCTAAGTTTTTGTATTGTTAGTAGAGACGGGGTTTCACCATGTTGACCAGGATGGTCTCGATCTCTTGACCTCGTGATCCACCTGCCTCGGCCTCCCAAAGTGCTGGGATTACAGGCTTGAGCCACCGTGCCTGGCCCCAAATTAATTTTTTTTTGAGATGGAGTTTTGCTCTTGTTGCCCAGGCTGGAGTGCAATGGTGTGATCTTGGCTCACTGCATCCTCCGTCTCCTGGGTTCAAGCAATTCTGCCTCAGCCTCCTGAGTAGCTGGGATTACAGTCACCTGCCACCATGCCTGGCTAATTTTTTGTGTTTTTAGTAGAGATGGGATTTCACCATGTTGGCTAGGGTGGTCTTGAACTCTTGACGTCAATGATCTACCCGCCTCGGCCTCCCAAAGTGCTAGGATTACAGGCGTGAGCCACTGCCCGGCTACAAAATCTTTTTTTTTTTTTTTAAATAATTGCAGGTATATTCAGATAACTCTTTTCTTGAGTAAGCTTTGGTGATTTGTGGCCTTGAAGGAATTTGTCTCATTGGAACTACCAAGTTTTTGATACAAAGTTTTTTTTCGGCCAGGTGTGGTGGCTCACACCTGTAATCCCAGCACTTTTGGAGACCAAGGTGTAGGCAGATCACAAGGTCAGGATTTCAAGACCAGCCTGGCCAACATGGTAAAACCCTGCCTCTACTAAAAATACAAAAATCAACCAAGCATGGTGGTGCGTGCCTGTAGTCCTAGCTACTCAGGAGGCTGAGGCAGGACAATCGCTTGAACCTGGGAGGCGAAGGTTGCAGTGAGCTGAGATCATACCACTGCACTCCAGCTTTGGCAACAGAATGAGACTTTGTCTTAAAAAAAAAAAAAAGTAAATTAAAGTTTTTTTCGTAAGAGTTCCTTATTATGTTTAATATTTGTAGGATCTGTAATGTTGTCCTCCTGATATTGATAACGTATATTTTTTCTTTTCTTGATCAGTCTAAGATGTATCAA